CCAGGTCGAGCGACGGACCCGGGAACGACTGAGGCGGAGACGGACGTGAACATGTTCGGGGAGGACCTGGGCTTCGAGCACGGCGGCACAGAGATGGAAGCGGAGGTGACCGCTGTCGACGAGCGCAGGGAGGAAGAATCGGAAGTCTTCAGTTGGAGGCCCGCCAAGGGAAGCGAACTGTATCCGGCATTCGTCCCCATGACTCGGCAGCACCCAGCTCCCGCACCGGAAGGAGGGGAGGGGGGAAAGGGGGGCTTCAAGGGGGGATGGATGTCAGGGGTTCAGGAGCAGAGGCGAGGGCAAGGGAGGAAACAGAGAGCGAGGGGGAGGAGTCCGAAGAAAGGATGAGTGATGACGACGACCCGAGATCTCCGAGTCTTTCCAGTGAATCGGAAGATTCACAGAAAGGAGCGCCAGTGGGCAGAGCAAAGGGGGGGCCTAGGGGGACACCCCAGGAGGAAGGGACCAGCGGGGGTTCAGAGGGCAGCAGTTGGAAATCGGGGCCAGCGTCCCCACCAGAGCGCAGTGGAGAGGAAGGACGTCAAGGGATCGAGCCCTGGCAGCTCGCAGCAGGGAGGAGGGCATGAGTCAGGAGTGACCACGCCCCCATCGGGGAGCGAAGAAACGGTCAAGCGGAAAGTGGGAGGCTGGGCGCGCGCGCCAAGTTCAAATGCACAGGAAGGCGGCGCAGTAAGCAGCCCGGAAAGGGAGCCAGGTCCTAAAGCCCGACGCAAGGAGACAGGAGGGTCCGGGGGGTCAGCGTCAGAGGAGTCCCGGAGGGAGGAGACCATGGGGGGCAGAGGGACCCAGAGAAGGACGGTCAGGCGGAAAAGGTGGAGTAAGGCGAGGATATTAAGTTGGTGTACGAGGGCGGAGATTCAGACGGAGCTTCGCCGGTCTAGCCATAAGACGTAGAGTTGCACGCAGCAGCTTGGAAATGGAAACTGTAACTCAATAAAGACTTTTATAAAGCGAATGCTGGCTAGCGTGATCCTCTGTGAGCTGGGATCGGAGAGCAGCTCTGACAATAATGTAGTTGTATGTTGTGCCTCACAGGGCAAATAGCATTGGAAGAGGGCACTTTCATGCAAGCATTCAGGAAAAAGATAAGGTCTCTTCCACTCCCACTACATTCCTTATCAGAATCCCCACAGCCCCTGATCTCCCAACATCACATATAGTTTGGCCTTCCGGCAGGCAGCAAAACCAACAGCTTTATCAAGCGCTTCCTGAACCACGGTTCATTGTTGGTGAGCTGTGGTGGGCCTATTGGGTCACGTTGTGTATGAGTAGCCTGTACCAGGTCTCTAGGTGGAGTAGCTACATCACACAAGGGAAATGCACTTTTGTTTCCCTGGTTATTGCTTCTTCTCAGTGCCATTTTCCTTCTCTGCCCTGATGCTCAGCCTCACTCGCCCGACATTGCCTCTTAATCTGATTGGCTGTAGCCGCCCATGTGGTTTTGTTTACAAAAGTTACCAGGTTAGATTAGCGTCATGATGTTTCAGGATGTGATCAGTCAAATTTCATGTGAATGAGCGGGGTGGTGGTGGAAGGAAGCTGTGCTAGGAAATGAGGTGAACAATTAAGAGCAAAAAAGGGTGTATTCCATATTGAGCTTATTGAAGGAAATGTGGGGATGATGATGATGATGAGAGGAGGAGGAGGAGGAGGAGGAGGAGGAGGAGGAGGAGGAGAAGGAGGAGGAGGAGGAAAACCTCCTGCGGACTGTCTCGCCAGAGTGGTGCATGCTCTGGTTATCTCCCGCTTGGACTACTGCAATGCGCTCTACGTGGGGCTACCTTTGAAGGTGACCTGGAAACTACAACTAATCCAGAATGCGGCAGCTAGACTGGTGACTGGGAGTGGCCACCGAGACCACATAACACCGGTCTTGAAAGACCTACACTGGCTCCCAGTACGTTTCCGAGCACAATTCAAAGTATTGGTGCTGACCTTTAAAGCCCTAAACAGCCTCGGTCCTGTATACCTGAAGGAGCGTCTCCACCCCCATCGTTCTACCCGGACACTGAGGTCCAGCTCCGAGGGCCTTCTGGCAGTTCCCTCACTGCGAGAAGCAAAGTTACAGGGAAACAGGCAGAGGGCTTTCTCGGTAGCGGTGCCCTCCCTGTGGAACGCCCTCCCACCAGATGTCAAAGAGAACAACAACTACCAGACTTTTAGAAGACATCTGAAGGCAGCCCTCTTTAGGGAAGCTTTTAATGTTTGATGTATTAGAGTATTTTAATGTGTGTGTTTTTGGAAGCCGCCCAGAGTGGCTGGGGAAGCCCGGCCAGATGGGCGGGGTACAAATAATAAATTATTATTATTATTATTATTATTATTATTATTATTATTATTAAACGGCACACAGGACTGCACTGAAACAGCCTATGAGCAAAGGTGAGGGAAAGCAGCTGGTAACACAGTTAGGGCAGAAGCTAATCTTGTTCCTCATGAGGTGACCTTCTATTAGCACAATCACATCATTGGTTCTGCTTCTCATTAATTCTACAGTGTGACAGAATGTTCAGAAAGTGGGGCAGAATATTGAGGACTGGCATTAATATTGCTGTCTCCATTTCTGTCCGCTGCAATATTTGTCCGCCTTTCCTTGAACATGGAAATGTGGCCTCCAGCTGGCTCCTTACCTTCTCAGCATATTCTGTCTCCATGGCTGCCACCTGCTTCTCATCAGCATCTTCAGACCCCTCGCTATCGGACTCGGGGGCAGCAATGGGAACACAGACAAACACATTGGGGTTGCTGATGAAATCATCCGGGATATGAACGGAGCACCTCTCCCCATTCTTCTCGATCTCTCTGTTACCATGACAGTTTGGGAGATCTTTTCGAAGCTCCAGCCCGTTCTTCTCAGATTCACATTTTATTTTCTTCTGAGCTGCCTTCCGCTTGTACCCAAGAGCTTTGAAACAAAAAGCCAACATTGCCTGTTTTGCTGCATGAAGCCCTCGGTGGATCCGAGCGAAGGCAATTTTAAGGTTGTTCGTTTCTCGGTCATCTTCCGGGAGTTGGAGGAGGTTGTCAGTGCTGAACGAGTTCAGCAGCAGGGCAATGAACAAATTGAGCACCTCAAAGCAACGGGAAGAGCAAAGGTTTAACAACATTTCTAGCATAATTGTTTTGGTTTTTTCTGAAGAGAGATGGAAACACCCAATTCTGGCATGACCAGGACAAGGAAACCAACCAACAGCCAGGGACAGGCAAAATTTGTCAATTTTGGTTTCTCCCAGTTTCTCATTTTGTCAACCTTAAGTTCAGTTCTCCACATTTCCACATCAATTGATGTGTGTGGGGTTTTTTTATTTTTTTAAAAAAACCCATGAAAATTCATCAGCAGTTTAGTGTAAATTTATTGTGATATACACACTTTGTATGCAATTTTGCCTAATATACGCATTTCTGGAAAAGATTTTCTGTACTATAATGCATTTTTATGTTAGCTTAATTAATATATGCTTTTTAATGCACATTTTACCCTAGTTGTATGCATTGTCTACTCTTAAAATGATACATCTGTTTTTATTCTTATTAATTCTATGCAAACTAGTTATAGAGCATAGGTGGAATGAACAAATATCGACAAATTGGAGCAGAGAATCTCTCTACAAAGTCAGGTAAGAGTGAGAGGCAGGTAAGATGCTTTACTTCCTTCTCCTGTCTCCTTATTATGGAATTTTATTTCATTTCCCAATGGCTTGAGAAAAGACTGAAAGAAGAGTTTGGATTTGGATTTGATACCTGCTTTATCACTACCCGAAGGAGTCTCAAAGCGGCTAACATTCTCCTTTCCCTTCCTCCCCCACAACAAACACCCTGTGAGGTGAGTGGAGCTGAGAGACTTCAGAGAAGTGTGACTGGCCCAAGGTCACCCAGCAGCTGCATGTGGAGGAGCGGGGATGCGAACCCGGTTCACCAGATTACGAGTCTACCGCTCTTAACCACTACACCACACTGGCTGATGTGAAAGATGTGAGAACATAAGAACAGTAGAAGGGCCCTCCTAGATCATGTCAATGGCCCATCTAGTCTAGCCTCCTGTTCACACAGTAACCAACCAGATGCCCATGGGAAACCTGCAAGTAGGACCTGAGTACAACATCACCCTCCCCACTTGTGATTCCAAGAACCTGACAGAAGCAGCCCAGGACAGATTTTCTGGAATACTACCATTCCACATACTTGTCTTGTCTTATTTTAAAGATACAGCCTGAGGAAGGACTTTTCAAACACATTTCCCCTTTTCATTAACAGCAAAGCAAAATTTTGATAAAAAGGGGAGGGGAAACCAAAAGGTACCTGTAAACTCACCACTAAATTTCCAATCACCATGACCAGCAAGAAGACAAGCAAGCACATTGATTGCTCATTGACCACCATGCAACCCCACATGGTTTCAATCCATTCTCCACACAAAATTCGGAAAATAACAAGGAAGGAGTGGAAAAAATCTTGCATATGCCATCGTAGTTTGCAGTCATCGGCCAATTTCTTACAATGAGTCTTATAGTTGCCCCCAAATAGCTGCATTCCAAATACAGCGAAGATAAAGACGATAATGGCCAGAACGAGGGTGAGGTTGCCCAGAGCATCCACCGAGTTTAAAATTATCTTAATAAGGGTGTTTAAGGTTGGCCAAGACTTCGCCAACTTGAAGACTCGCATCTGTTGGGGAGGAAAGTATTGCATTGTTAGATAACCAAAGAACAGAACAGTTTGGCAGTTTCTATTTTTTTGTAGCCTTCAGTTCTAACTCTGTTTATCCTTCTTTTCAGCTTCATCTTGCCTTTTTGTTCTCTTTTGAACATATTGTTATTTATTATGTCCGACCCTCAGCAGCCAAACAAGTGCCTATGGGGAAGCCCCAAAGCAGAACATGAATGGAGTAACACACTCCCACTCATTTTTCCCTAGCAACCGGTATTTAGAGGCATGCTCTCTGCGATGCTGGAAGTAATAGTTGGCCATCGTGTCTAGTGGCCACTGATAGCTTGTCTCCTTCATGTCTCTCCCAAGCAGCACAGCACAGGAGCTGGCCTTGGACACATATTTTCAACTCCCTTCCTGGTCCTGAAAGCACCGGGTGGCCTTGGGGAAGTTGCTGCTTCTTGCCCTCAATTTCCTCTATCTGAAAATAACATCCCTCACAGGGCACATCTGGAGATTAGCAAGTTAAACCTTTCACAGTGCTCCACAGATGTATAATCAATAGTGATCTTCTGCAAGAGATGTAGCTCGTGGGAAACCCTGTCCTATATGTCCATGAAAAAAGAAAGGAAGGAAGAGGAAAAAAGAGAGCGAGGAATTACCAGCCTCAAGGTCCGTAAAACTGTAAAATTTCCTTTCCTGCTGCCTTTCTTCCCTGATGCCTTATTCTCTTTGGGTTCACTGCTCAGTTCAATGATGCTTATGAAGACAATCACACTGTCAAAGATATTTGAGCGCTGCTGAAAATAATAATAGGGATCCAGCGCAATGATTTTCAGGATCACTTCTGCAGTGAAAATTCCGGTGAAAATCTGCAAAATAGAAGTGGAGACGTCAAATCTGCATGTTCCAGAATCCTCTCTCCTCATGCCGGGGTTAGGGACAGTTCACATGACAAACAGGCATGTTGAGAAGTCCGCAAACCCTTCCTGGGGGGCTCCATTGCGGTCTGGCACTCCCTCCATCACCCTTCACAATCAGACAAGGGAGGCCCCTTGGGCTGTGTCCCGGGCAGCAAAGGAGGTCCCTGGGCTGAGTTTGCTGCCCAGGCAACAGATCCTGCCAGCTCGCTCAATCAGCCACTTGTGAGTGGGCAAGGGGGTGGGCCGCTCCTGGAGGGTGGGCTCAGTCTGCTCCCTGGGCATATAAGAAGAGCATGCGGCTTTTTCCTGGCAGCCACTCCTAGAGTCAAAGTGAATGGCAGCATGTCTGCCACCTTTCCTTTGGCTTGCGCTATTAGACAACATTGTGAGATTTATAATATTAAATATAATTTAGTTTCATTTGCAGACGATATTCTTTTGTTTATTTCGTACTGTTCAGGCTAGTATTCCCATCTTGATGCAAACAATAGGTGCTTTTGGTAAAGTATCTGGTTACTCTGTTAATTGCTCCAAATCAGAACTGATGCCAATAAGTCAAAACCTGATTACCCATTCATCCAAGGAATATAAATTCCAGATTTGTTCAAAATCTATTAAATATCTAGGTATGCTAATACCAAGAGATATAACCGTTTGTCATAGTTAACAGAAATAAATTAATGAAGAATTTTCTTCAGATAGTGATAGGTGAGAGTCATTGAACCTTATACCTTTTGGGGAAGGGTGAATGCTGTCAGAAATCGATACGATAATAATAACAAACGCATAAAAGCTTATTACATGCTGATGCAGAACGTCCTGCTTGCCAGAATTCGCTTACCTTGTTGCCTATCCCAAGCATGGACTCGAAATCAGGGGACATTTTATAGTGTTCTAGCGCCATAAAGAGAGTATTCATCACAATGCAAACTGTGATTGTGAGGTCCGTAAATGGATCCATAACAAAAACGCCCACATTCTTCTTTATCTTCAACCACAGTGGGCAAAAGTTCCACACAAGATACTTTGCAGCCAAGTTCTTCAAGAAGCGGGGGCACTTCTGATTAGATTCTTCAAGTTCTAAACATTAAACACAATAAAGTAAGGTACGCCCCCCCATAAAAAAGATTTAGAAACACGCGCCTATGGTCAGGAAGTGGGATCAATAAGGACTTGTGAGAACAACTCCTACTGAATCTGTTGATGCTCCAGCAGAATTCTTTTTAAAAATGTACGATCAAGGACTATTGTAATTGATATCTCTGTTAGAATTCCTGCTCCATGATTGCAGTCATGGGATTGTTGTCTTTCACATAACGGTATATGTTTTGACTCCACAAAGTGGGAAGTGACGGAGACAGGATGTTTGTGTTACTGTGTTCCGTGAAGTGGGGCTATTGTCCTTTGTTCTTTTTCTCTTTGCTGTCTGATGCTAGAGAGAGAGGGAGCCATGTTGCAGTGCTTCGTTTGTGTTTATATGTAAATAAAGTAGATTAGCCAAAATGCTGAGTTGCTGAGGTCTATTATGCAACTGCGCAAACTCTGCGGATTCCTAAGTGTGCCGGTGTCGGTTGGCATCAGTCGCTGTGATGTTCGGGCTGAAGAAAGCTTTTGAAGCTCCCGAATGATCGACCAGGAAGGAAAGAACTTGCCAGTCAGGCATGTGTCTCTGCCAGGGTCCTACTCGAGTGTAGGCCGAACTCCTAACAATCCCATGGGCCAGTTCTTTGTAAGACCATAGGAAACTATTTTATGTCAGAAGCTTTGTCCAGCAGGTTCAGTGGCTTTCAGGAATCTTGCCTAGCTCTTCATGAAGACACCTGGGATGAATCTGGGGCTCTCCACATAGAGGGCATGTTTCTTTGACCACTGAGCTACAGCTCATGTGACTGTATCGCTATTCCAATTTCACTAGCTTCCTATCTGTTTCTGATCCCAAAGTGCTAGCTAGTTACCTTGAAAATCCCTAAATGGCACTTCCCGCCCTACCGGTGGGGAAAGGGTGAGAGAAGATCTACATTTATTTTATTATTTTTATTTCTTAAATTTGTATACTGCCCTTTATCTGAAAATCTCAGGATGGCTTACAGCATAAACATACAAAGTAAAAACACAAAATTCATATGAAAAACCAGAACCAGAACAAAACAAACCCGTAGCCCCAACTCCCACACCAGGAACAAAGGGACAGTAAAGGTCTACATTGGGATCGGCTACCCCTGTGATTCCTGCCACCTGAAGCAGTCGTCTCATCTTGCCTCAAGGGTGGGCCAGCCCTGACTCCCTATTTAAAGGTGATATGCAACACAGGAACAATACATAGACCCAAGTGCAAGTGCTAAATCCGCCCATTTATGGCATGTAAAACATGTCCTTAACCTTGGTATCCAACCACTATATTGGTGCCCATGAATATGCAACAACCTACCTTCCAGCGCACTGGTAATGATGCTGACTGCACTTGCTGCCCTTTGTCTCTGAAGTGGGTGATTATAATAATCCACTGAGAGACGCTGAGTTTGGAACCTCTTGTTGGCTTCATCACAAGAAGTAGTCTGTTTAAAGATGTAAACAACATGTCTAGTTATGGAAGCTTTATGTGCTTCGATCTCAGGCAGGAAGAGTAACAGATATGAACGTAAATATGATTATTGCGCTGTGGGTTAAACCACAGAGCCTAGGACTTGCCGATCAGAAGGTCGGCAGTCCAAATCCCCGCGACAGGGTGAGCGCCTGTTGCTGGGTCCCTGCTCCTGCCAACCTAGCAGTTCAAAAGCACGTCAAAGTGCAAGTAGATAAATAGGTACCGCTCCGGTGGGAAGGTAAACGGCGTTTCCGTGCGCTGCTCTGGTTCACCAGAAGCGGCTTAGTCATGCTGGCCACATGACCCGGAAGCTGTACGCCGGCTCCCTCGGCCAATAAAGCGAGATGAGCGCCGCAACCCCAGAGTCGGTCACGACTGGACCTAATGGTCAGGGGTCCCTTTACCTTTACCTTTATGATTATTGCAAAATTCAGTGGACCACACAGTCTTAATACATTCGGAGGAAATGTTGAGTGACAATGAGTATTATTGTTCAGTCGTTCTAAGTTTCCTTTTCCTCTCACTTCACTACTTATTAGTTCCTTCCTCACCCAGTTTACATGCAACTCAGGACAACACTTCATGCATTTGATGAAGCAGTCCAGGAAAGCTTCTGTCATAATGCATTTGTTAGTCTTCAATACGGGTGTGCCTTTGGAATCTTAGCTTTAGAGCTGCACAGCAGTCCTTAGCTAAAAGAGAATGGACGCACTATGGTGCAGAAAGAAAATATTTGCTATTTATTCATACCACAGGGCTCTCACCTCTTAGCTCTTACTACTCCTTCTTCTTTAAGTCTGCCCCTGCCCCCAAACTTTTTGGTAACGCTCCCCACCCTCCATGCCCACTATTCACAAATACATTTACAGTGAGATTCTATGAATGCCTACTTGGAAGTAAATCCCATTGAGTTCAATGACGTTTACTCCCAGAGAAGTGGTTAGAGGATAATAATCTTAATTGTTGTTGTTTGTGTGTATAGAGAGAGAGAGAGAGAGAGTTGCAAATTGCCCTGGGACTAATGATGAAGGCTGGGGAAGAAATTTAAATCATCATCATCATCTGTAGGGAAGTAATCTGAGGATAATTTTTAGGGGTGGAATCATTTTTCCTCTAGGTACAGAAAACATAAAGGTAAAGGTACCCCTGCCCGTACGGACCAGTCTTGACAGACTCTAGGGTTGTGTGCTCATCTCACTCTAGAGGCCGGGAGCCAGCGCTGTCCGGAGACACTTCCGGGTCACGTGGCCAGTGTGACGAAGCTGCTCTGGCAAGCCAGAGCCGCACACAGAAACGCCGTTTACCTTCCCGCTAGTAAGCGGTCCCTATTGATCTACTTGCACCCGGGAGTGCTTTCGAGCTGCTAGGTTGGCAGGCGCTGGGACCGAGCAATGGGAGCGCACCCCGCCGCGGGGATTCGAACCGCCGACCATACAATCGGCAAGTCCTAGGCGCTGAGGTTTTACCCACAGCACCACCCGCATCCCCTGACAGAAAACATATATAGCAAAAATTGATTACTGCATCCTAGACAACTGTGGGGAAGCCACCAATCAGAAAATTGCATCTGTCTGATTACATTCTCAACTCACCAGATCTCCTTTCCCAGGATTTTCCATAACTGGAGGAAGTAATGACCCTTCATTGGAAATGGGATCCATGTTAAACGGCCTTGTTCCACTGCCCCCCATCAATGAAACCATCCCATTGCAATCGTCTCCAGCAGCCCATCTGCCGGGCTGCATGTAGTTTGGAGCTGTCAGGCGAGGACTGTAGCTGGTTTGACTTTGGATGCTTGGACGCCTTCCCATTCGTGCAGCCAGCAGTGTGCTGTGCTGGATCTCCGTCTCCCCAATGCTGCTAGATTCATCCTCCCCAAACTCAGCCCTTGAACCAGCATCTCGGCCGGATACATGGAAATTGAATACACTTCCATGACTTGGTCGGCGTCTGGTTGGGTTTGAACTAGGACCGTAATTGTGGCTAATGAGAGACTGCAGAGATCAAAAGAAGGAAAAAAGAGCAAGAGTGATGCAGATTTTGACATGCTCTGTACTTTAATGTTGGGTGTAAGAGTCACTTACAGAAATCCTACCAATTGCAGCAGAAAACTTTATGACTGGCCTTGTGCCTTCCTGTTAATAAAGAGCACTCTGCGTTCAGAATTGGCAGCTTGTTAGGAGTGATAGCCGGCTTCTCATTAACTCAGTCTTGCACATACACTCCCGTCTCCCATTTAACTACTCCACAAAATTTTCCACTAGTACTTAAGTCTGTTAATCACTTATGGCTTCCTTACCAGTCACAGAAACCAAGGAACTTGCTATTTATTAAGGTACCCCTGCCCGTACGGGCCAGTCTTGACAGACTCTAGGGTTGTGCGCCCATCTCACTCAAGAGGCCGGGGGCCAGCGCCGTCCGGAGACACTTCCGGGTCACGTGGCCAGCGTGACAAAGCTGCATCTGGCGAGCCAGTGCAGCACACGGAAACACCGTTTACCTTCCCGCTAGTAAGCGGTCCCTATTTATCTACTTGCACCCGGGGGTGCTTTCGAACTGCTAGGTTGGCAGGCGCTGGGACCGAACAACGGGAGTGCACCCCGCCGCGGGGATTCGAAACGCCGACCTTTTGATCGGCAAGCCCTAGGCACTGAGGCTTTTACCCACAGCGCCACCCGCATCCCTTGCTATTTATAAGCCTCTGTTAATTCTCATACTTACTGCCATGTGAACCTACTAGGACCACCAAGGAGGATTACAATTTTGTAACACCTTTATTCAGACAGATGACACTGCAACTGATTTATTCTATGGCTGTTAGTTGATTTATGGACAGGGTTTGCTATTTTTTATTGTTCTGACCTACTAGTGACCTATTACTGAGAACTGCTAAGAGTAAAGGAAAAGCAAATACATCACATATAAAGCTTTATGCATAGATTGGTTTCCTACTGTTGTAGAATATATATACTTTCTAAAATGTAAATTTGCTAAAAACATTCATGTAGATTTAGGGTTGGCAAATGCTGATTAAAAATTAAGTGTCTTAGTTAAAACCTTTTTTCTCCCTTCATTTAAACTCCTCCATCTATGAAGACAAGTTAGAGTGCAATTAAAAGTGAAAAGAAATAATGGTTGGTTAAAGCTATGGTTTCCCCAGTAGTGATGTATGGAAGTGAGAGCTGTATGATAAAGAAGGCTGATTGCCAAAGAATTGATGCTTTTGAATTATGGTGCTGGAGGAGACTCTTGAGAGTCCCATTGACTACAAAGAAGATCGAACCTCTCCATTCTGAAGGAAATCAGCCCTGAGTGCTCACTGGAAGGACAAATCCTGAAGCTGAGGCTCCAATACTTTGGCCACCATGAGAAGAGAAGACTCCCTGGAAAAGACCCTGATGTTGGGAAAGATGGAGGGCACAAGGAGAAGGGGATGTCAGAGGATGAGATGGTTGGACAGTGTTCTCGAAGCTACCAGCATGAGTTTGACCAAACTGCGGGAGGCAGTGGAGGACAAGAGGTGCCTGGCGTGCTCTGGTCCATGGGGTCACGAAGAGTCAGACACGACTAAACAACAAAACAACAACAAAAGCCTTATGAAATAACTACCGGTTTCCGATAGCTGTCACTAGACTGTGATTTTGGGGTTTTGGGATCTTCCCCATAATCTTCCATCCCCAAAGACAACTTTTTCATTCTGTTGCTTCGTTCTTTGACCTCTTTAGAACCTATAGGTGACACTTCATATGAGCTATGAGACATGCTATCGTTTTCTTTCGCAGCTAATTCCTAGAATGAAGAAAAAGAGAAGTGCACATTGTACCATTATGTCTTCATATGAGATAATAATAATAAAAAAATACTTTTTGGTATGACAACTTCCCATTCACAGATAACAGTTTGCATTGGATATCCAAATTACTCACAACCTTCATGATTTTAAAGTAAATCACGGTGTTTTTCTAAAAGGATTTTTGTCTTGATGGATTTTTCTTGCCTAGCAAGTGTTAGCTATGTTTCAAGTCTGAGTTCCTAGTTTTTGGACACATGAAACATGGAAGCTGGTGCTTAATCTCCTATGGAAGCATCATAATTAAGTGGCAAGTTCTTGCTTTGACCATGTTTAGATCCCATCCCATGTTCAATTTATGCTTTCCCCATTCTAAAGAGCTTTTTTTTTATGCCAGCAGACCTATGCAGCTGTTAAAAAACCAATTTGATTAGTCGGTCATTTTAATTACCATTTTGTAGTGTTTTTAACGGTGTTTTATGTTTTATTGTATACATACTATATATAACTACTGCTATAAACTAAGTTTCTGGGGAAATGGAGGTAGTTGTAGATTAGCAATGGGGCAATATATGAACCTCCTGCTCTTTCTTCAGCATCTCCATGGCTTCACGAAATTTCCTTTCTTTTGCTTCTGTTTCAGCAATAGTGGCTGTGCTCTGTTCTTCGTAGGCCATCGTGACCACGGCCAAGATCAAGTTGACCAGGTAGAATGATCCCAGAAATATGACCAGCATGAAAAACAGCATATAGATCTTCCCAGATGCTCTGAGAGTCTGTAGTCAGAAAGAAGACAGTAATCATTCTTTTGGTTGTGGTGTTTACAAAATGTTCAGGTTTTCATTACCAGTTTCCCATATGTTAAAGGGAAAAAGGCCTTTGAAATCATATAGAAAACATGAACCACACTAAAAAATAATAATACAGTAATTCATTAACCAAAATAAAGATGACGAAAGAAACAACATTAAATCTAAAAATGACACATGAAATTCTATGCTATGTATGATCCAAGCTTTGCTTAAAAACTGCCAAGGAAGGAGAGTCCACAACCTCCCAAGGTGGTCTGTTCCACTGTTGAACAGCTCTTACTGTCGGAAAGTTCTTCCTGATGTTCATTCGGAATCTCCTTTCTTGTAAATTTAATCCCCTGGTTCGGGTCCTACCCTCTAGAGCAAGACAAAACAAGCTTGCTCCATCTTCAGTGGCAGCCTTTGAGATATTTGAAGGTGGCTATCATATCTCCTCTCAGACTCCTGCCTTTTGGACCCAAGAGAACCCTTAGATGGCTAACAATATTTTGACATTTTTTTTACAAGAAGGAACATTCATAACTGTGATCCCCCTTCTGCGCTCTGAGGTAGCACAGTTTATTCTACCAGCTCAGGACTCTGTGACAACATTTCCATCTCATATTATGACCCCAGGTTTCCGCTTGGTAGACTCTAGCATATCATTCTGCTACTTGTATAGCTATGACGGGAGCTGTAAAAGGTAGGCAGCTTCAAAGCCGCTTCAAAGGACTATGGCAGTTTCCCCATGCAATTTGTTTCAAAAGAATTGAAGCATATACCTGTTGATAGAGGCGTTCCCAGTAATCCTGCGTCATGAGGCGGAACAGGGAAAGGAAGGCCCAGCCAAACGTATCAAAGCTTGTGTACCCATAGTCAGGATTTTCTCCAACCTTCAGACATACGTATTTCGGCGGGCAGGAACTGCAAATAACAACTTTGTTTCAGTGATAAAATTCTCCAGTATTTAAGTATGAAGAGAAAGTTCTGCCAATACAGTGGTACCTCGGGTTACATACACTTCAGGTTACATACGCTTCAGGTTACAGACTCCGCAAACCCAGAAATAGTACCTTGGGTTAAGAACTTTGCTTCAGGATGAGAACAGAAATCGTGCTCCGGCAGCGCGGCAGCAGCAGGAGGCCCCATTAGCTAAAGTGGTGCTTCAGGTTAAGAACAGTTTCAGGTTAAGAGCGGACCTCCGGAACAAATTAAGTACTTAACCCGAGGGACCACTGTATATGGAGAGACTTGAAAATATGTGAATATTTTTTTCTTTCAAAAACATGGCTCCTACATTCAGCAGAGCTGTGGCTCCCAGTAGGTTGGCCAGAGTGGAATTTGTGGCCCTCGGGCTGGAAATCTTTCCCCACCCTTGCAATAGAACTGCAGCTTCAAACTGAAAATGGTAGATCTCAGATCTCACCACACTGGGGCACATTCACAATGTTCCACATGCAAAAACGATGAGAAGGTCACATTTGACTTTGAACACACAAAAATTGAATTTGAAAATGTGGGCCACAGTTTTGGGAGGAGGGGAGGTAAGTAAGCAGAAAGTAAATAAATATTCGGAGTGAATAACAGATATTAAACACACTCATAACAGGTATTATGTAAACTTACCCACCATCTGAAGCATTGCTGCACAATAAATAATCTTCAGTGCCATTCTTATGTATGTAATTTCCTGCAACAAAAGAGTCAAGGATAAATATGGTTCCAGATAAGTAGAGGTTCTAAAACAGCCAGTCATTTTGTCAAAACCCATGGTTATCGTCCTGGCTTATCAACAAACCACAGTTTAAACTAATCACTGTTCCTCCAGTTCTGATATAATGTGAAACAGTTTAGTTTAAAACCAGGAGTGGGTGCTTCTAATCACATCTGTGCTAAAGGAGGGGAGGGGAAGGAAGAGTGCATGAGGCCAAGGTTTCCTGTTGCTCATGCACTAAACTAAACTAGGGTTGCCATATTTCAAAAAGTGAAAATCTGGACACAAAAGTTGTTGAGCTTTCTTGGCCAAAGTTGTTAAGTTGTCGAGCTTTGGCAAAATCACAAGGACGTTTTGGAGCTAATTTTAAGGAAAATTGGCAACAACACCACTGCCTCCATGCAATATTGTCAGAACTTGAAAGCTGCAGCCATGCAACCCCCAGTAAGCGAGGCTTCAGTGGGGGCAGCAAGGGGGATGATATCATTTGTACACAGTATGGTTACCAGTGTGGTCATGCCACAGATTTGAATAATGGCATTATGATACTGGATTTTGCCTTTTACACAACTACTGCACATCTGGATGACTAACATCCTGTCCAGTGAAGCTGAACATTAGGAGATTCTAGGCAGGGCAAAACAAATACTGTACTTCTTCACACATAGTTTGACCTATGGTATTCCCACCCAATAGATGTAGTGATGACCACGACCTGGATGACTTAAACAGAGAATTAGATCAATTCATGGAGGTTAAGTCTTTTTGATGGCTAATAGCCATGAGGTTATGTTCTACCTCCACTGTTGGAGGCACACTGTGCCTGTAAATACTAGTTGCTGGGTATCAGAGTTACACAGTGAGCCACTGTGAGAACAGAGTGTTGGACTTGATGGCCCTTTTGCCTGGTCCAGCATGGCAGAGGCAAATTTAGGGGAGCATGACAGGTTCACCCACACTGGCTACTGAGCCAAGAGGGTGCTGCAATAATGATTTAGAACGGAAGGCAAGAGGCGGGGGCTGCTGAATTTCGGCATCACACCACTGAAATTTGAAGGCCCAACATTCTCCACTGAGCAGGGGCCTCCTTCTTATGTTCTTATTTTTGTTAGACAATAGCCTTTTTACATAGGAATTGTTAAAGAACTCTTCGGTGGATGCAACCAGGACTTGGTGATTTGTTCATTTTTAATTTGTCAGTAAGACTTAGTACTTGATCAGTTACCGCCTCAATTCCTTAGACTCTCATCCTGTGCAAGTTAAGGCACGGGGTTCAGTTACAATCACACTACTCATGGAAGCACACTTGGGAGTTTGAAAGTAAGATTGCAATAATCCAAAAAGGATTTATCCCAATGCCACCCGCATGGCAAACCTACCGAAGCACTTATCTGATACTTATAAATCTCACTATTCTTAGGAGTAACAGTCTGAAGTGGCAGACTCGTGTGTTTTGTTTGCTAGGGCCGATTTCAAACCTGGAGACAGAAGATGGAATAAATCCATTATTTTGCAAAGATCTGAGGACAGCATTTACCTGGGCTATTGGTAAAATTCTCATACGGAGTCAAGTTCTGTTTAGATGAAAAGGATGTTTCATTGGACATGCTCTGGCTGATATATTCCGTGTAGTTCTTGACACATTTGTGTCTCAAATGTCCTTTAAAGAGTTGAAGACCAATGAGGGCAAACACACTCAGGCAGAAAACAGTCAGGATCATAACATCTGCGAGTTTCTTAACAGACTGGATTAGGGCACCTACAATGACTTTCAGACCTGCAGAGGGGGGAAATGAATGACATATTAAATTCAAAATCAAAGTACCTGCAGAACAATTTGGAATGCCCAAATTGACCTAGAGTTAGTTTTGCCCCTCATTCATCTGTGTGATGAACTATTTTTGGTAGCTTTGATAAAAATAAATAGAAAGAAAATGTATTATGGATACCACGTGTGGGAAGGCAGGGTTGTCTGAGCAAATTTCCAGCAGCTCAGTTTCAAAACATGTATGTTTTGAGGGGACAAGAGGTATCTTTTAAGGGAATAAAGTAGCAGCAAGTATGCTTCTCAAAAACATTATTAAAACCCTTGAACTAAAAAAGAAGCTGCTACTAATAGTAAAATGTAATACACTGCCATGTCCATCTTTATTGTCTGAAATATGCCTATATATGTTGACATGTACCCAATGTTCTTCATTCACTGTCTACTATATATTTTGGAAAGTTGCTTGTCTGTTCACTATGCATTTGGACACCTCTAAAAATTTTGAAACCAGTTTTTGCATGATGGTTTCTGAGATCAAGAAGCACATTTTCGTCTATGTTTGGATATAGTTGGTGACCATTTTGAATCAAGATGGCAGACTGAACTTTTCAAAATTGCACTGATTTTACCCACTGATTTCAAAATTACTTTTTTGTTTCTTAGAATTCCTAAGCAATAGCTGAGTACAAAACTGCTAGCTTTTTTTAAAAAATAAACACAAATTTGGTGTGTCATATCCACTCTGAAAGCAGAAATTACTGTGCAGGATAGTAAGTGATCTATAGGCATTAGCGGTCTGTTTTTAATAACTAAAACGATTAAGCAATGTGATTAGATGCCCAGGGTTGTGCCTTGACACTGATAGCAAAAAGGCCATTCATGTCCTTGTTTTCTTCTATCGATGGGATGAATGACTAGACTGCTTATAATTTGCCACATTAAACGTGTCATTGTTTAATTTTCTCCAACCAAAATTACTCACTGTGCATTAACAAATTGTCATCCTTTCATTTCTGAACTCTGGATATTGTTCAGATTGCTGCAAATACACAATTTGCTATGATTTACAGCTTGCATCCATTAAGCGCTGCCCCTTTAGTGCCCATAAGGGGTTTGGGTTGCCCCCTAAATTACAGCAATATATTTGATTCAGATTGTGCTGATATAATCAATATGCATATATGTTGCATTTAATCAATGCACATTCACTGTTAAGTGAAAACAGTGTCAAACACCAATGCACGATACATCCATACACCAGTTCTGATACTAATTTTAGAACTTATCTGAGGTAAACTCAAAGTGAAACATAGTGGAATGTAGTGCAAATAAACCCATGCTTTCCTAAATATTCTGTGTACAGCACTTAGTAAATTGTTTTATGTGCTCCATTTAATAAATAAAAACAACAGATGGATGGAACAGAGAAAATCTGTTCATTGTTGGTAGCAAACCTATACAGCACCCGGATCTGTAATCAGTGGGCTTGAATTTTCAGCACAGTTTGTATGATTTGTAAATGGGCAATCAGCCAGCATGTTTTGCTTTGTATAAAAATAATATCAAATGAACAATCGCTAACCATAACTGTTTGCAACAGGACATGAAGCAATTGATTTTCTCTACAGGTGGTACAGCAAGCTAACATTTTTTTTATTATTATTTTTTAACACCTTCAAATGATGAAGGTATTTCATCCGCTTAGGGAAGATAACCTACAAGACACCTGCATTTGGAAGTTTTCAAAACAACATTTTAGGGGTGTTTTCAAAATCAGCTCCCTCACCCACCCACATTGAAGTGAACAGAAAAATACGATAGGTTTTTATTTTGTCCTCATGAAAGTTTCGGGTTCTTCCCCATCCCCAGCATTCTCCTCATACATGCAGGGGTGTTTTTCCCCCAATGTCTGCATAATGTCATTGGCTAACCCATAATTCTCCCATTCATTCCAGATTTTCCCTTTCCGGGGAAAATCCAGTAAGCAAAAAACAACCACCCAACAACAAACAGTTGCCAATACCCCATTTGCAAATTCAGCCCCTGTTTGGAAGCATCTCAGTTTACCAGCAACTTGCAACACAGTACAGGATACATGTATATTTATGTACGGTATTCTAGTATTTCACAGATAAAAATAGGTACATTTGTGAACGTATTATATGTCTATTACACAAAGAATCATGTCAAATCCAGTTTCGTCCCCCACTATTACACAATGCTTCCTGTATTAAACATTCAGATTGCCTCTCTTGCTACACTAATTTAAAAGTAGAGTGTTTTTCCTTTTCATTATTGATATTCTAGGGAAACGCTAATCTTTTAATATATGAACAGTTCAAAATAAACATCGGCAGGTGCAGCATGTGAAATGGCTGGGCATGCGCAACATTTATTACCTGCCCACAGGTCACAGGGTGCATTAGAAGATTATTATATTATTATAATATAATATTTAGTCATCCTTCACCCTTAGGTCCCAGGGCAGGTTACAACCATTTAAAACACAACATTAAAAGCAGTTTGAAATGCATTACAATAACAAAAATGCATCTAGGTGCATTGATGCATACGCATGAGCCTCAAGACGCATCATTCCTAACCTAGAGATTCACTTCTAGAGAACTGGGCATAGAGTGAGGCGCAAGCCTGGAAAATGACAGCTATAGCAATTCATCCAGGCAAAAAGCTAGCAAGCCTTTCTATATGTGCCGCCCAAAGGAACAGCTACAACACGATTGTCTCTGATAAATGAATACCATTGAAATATATACATCTGACGTGCCATTGACACATAGATTTGAACTTTGCAAATGCAACCAGATTGCTGTCAGAAAGAATTCAAAGGTTTTTCATACCTGGGATAATGGAAACGGTTTTTAAAGCTCTCAGCACCCGGAACATCCGAAGGACGGAAACACCGCCCATATCAATAAACTCTCCCAAAAGTCTGTAAAATCAAAATGTGAAATAAGTTTTAAAAAGATACAAACTTGAGGGGAGGGGTTACAGCAGCAACACTGGTCCCCTAACCAGCCTTCTTGGTAGTGGCACCCGCCCTGTGGAACACCCTCCCACCAGATGTCAAAGAGAACAGCTACAGGACTTTTAGAAGACATCTGAAGGCAGCCCTGTTTAGGGAAGCGTTTAATGTTTGATGCATTACTGTATTTTAATATTTTGTGGGAAGCCGCCCAGAGTGGCTGGGGAAGCCCAGCCAGATGGGCAGGGTAAAAATAATAAATTATTATTATTATTATTATTATTATTATTATTATTAGCCTGACCCAACTGTAGCTCTGCTCAACATACTCCTTGCTGTGCCCATGAAAGGCATTTTAGTGGCAGTGGGCACTAATGAATGGAAGCAGAGCTTGGCTTCCATTTTGCAGCGGCTGCTTGGCATCTTTCATTTACCCCCAAATTCGTGCCCTGGCCTATAGGTGTATAACTTGGGGAGACCTTACATTCTGGGTAAATGAACACTGCAGTCGATCACATGGCCACTGCAGGTACAATTTGCTGCCATTCAGAAGTGGCGCTGTGAAGCTGGCACAGGGACGCCCCCCATGGAGTCCGATGCAGCCATGGCATTAGCAAGCGAGGTGGGGGGGGCATTAAGTTCTTTATCACTGTCCAGAAAACCAATGGCCTGGCAGAAGCAGAGGGACAGCCCTTAGAATCATGGAACTGTAGTGTTGGAAAGGGCTCTCAGGGTCATCTAGTCCAACCCCCTGCAATGCAGGCTTAAAATACAGAAGCTTGTCTACAGCCTTAGCAACTCTACTGTGCAAAGCACTGTATACGCAACAAAGATCTGGAAGGACCTTTGTTGTATATGCAACAATATATATTAGATTACATTAATTCATTTTAATTTAAAATTAATATTTAAAATTAAAATCAATTTTAATTTAAAATGAATTAATACTAATTAGCAACAATCAGTTTGGAGGTGCAAATATAGTGAGAAGGGTGGTAGGAAAGATTTGACTCGGCCTAGCCAGGGCTAGTTTCATTTTTGCTAAATGTTTGTAAATACAGTGGTACCTTGGTTTACAACCATAATCCGTTTCAGAGGTCTGCTTGTAAACCAAAAAAGGTTGTAACCCAAGGCACACTTTTGCCAATGTTTTTTGTTCATAATTCCAAAAAAATGGGTTGTAATCCAAAAAAAGGTTGCAAACCGGGACACGCACTTCCGGGTTTGATGTTTTTGTAATCCAAAGCGTATGCAAACCAGACGTATGCAAACCAAGGTACCACTGTAATCATTACATGAGCCTTTTTTTGAAGGGCTCTTACTTCAGGCTGAGGCCTATAGCAGGAGGTAGCCTTTGGGGCCTGATTCTGTTTTTTTTTCCATATTTCTCTCTCCCCACGGCCACCCCTTCCTTCAAAACAAGACATCTAGGCAATCTTCCATGTATGTATTAGTCAAGACCAGAACTTTGGTTTTTCTTCAGGCCTATCCATGGCCTTTATCTCGGTGTATTCAAGTGACATGTGTCTATTTTACTGATGTATTTTTTTACTTTTCTACCCCAGCGTTCCTCTCAAGAGCTTGGGACATTTCCTGGGCAGTCTTCTATTTTAGATATTAAGCTCAGATGGTGGCCTTTTACCTCAGATTCATAAAGGAATACTGCTACTTTCACACCTCTTTCCAAAGATTTCTGGGCACTTCCTGGCCAATCATGGCTCCGTCTAGGTTTTAGGCTCAGAACTTTACCTCAGGCTGAGGGACTATGGGCAAATTTTTATTCCCCTCAGCAGAGCTTCTGGGCTTAAACTACAACATGGTTCCACAGTCAGAAGTCTGAACATGAAAGGGTTTCTCAGCACAAAATTACAGCTCTGGGGAAAGTTATCAATGGCATTTAGAGAGAAGCTAAAATGAACAGATTTGCCAATCCCCTACTGCAGGGTAGCGTGGTCACTTGCGCCACCTCAGCAAGGCAATGCTGAGGAGGATAATTTTGCCACACATTTTGGGGCCAACGATTGCAAAATATGTGGTAGAATGACCAGTTCTAACACCTCAAGCAACATGGGAGTCAAAAACCCTCAGCGAAGAAGTATCTCATCTTCAGAGGAGAGTGGACCAGGGGATTGGATCAGCTCTTTGCTTGCTGAGTCCCAGACAGGATGGAAGCGAGACACACGCTTCCTCCAGGGACCTGCAATCCTCTATTAGGAGCCATTTGCAATTAATGGTGCGTTAGTGCTGCCTGCAGGCAAGGCTCTCAAAGCACTGTCCTTTTAGTACCAGCGCTGTATGGAAAAGGATCGGGCATAATATACAGAGAGTGCAGAATGTAGTAATGGGGAACAGAATTCAACTTCCTGAGAAAGCCAATCTCTGGTCCTAATGCCTGCAAAAATATTAGGCTGGAGAAGCTGATGAATAACCATTTCAGCATTTTGGGGAGAATCCCAAGTTTTACAGCAGCGCAACAAAATCTTTATGAGCGAAATCTAGAGGACTAGAAAGCATTTTGTGATGATATGAATGGCAGCTGCAACGATAAAAGCTTTCTCTCCTTCCTCTAATCGCTTTTATATGTGCTTTCTACCCAGAAATTAATTCAAACTTCTTTTAGGCTCAGAGACCAGAGTCAAGACTAACATTTTTCCATGTATAAGATGCCCCCATGTATAAGACGACCCCTATTTTTTGAGCCCAAAATTAAGAAATCATTAATTGCAACATTCCGTGTATAAGACGACCTTCAATTTTAAACTTAAAAAAATTGGGGGGGAAATATAGTCTTCTACATGGAAAAATATAGTAAGTACTCTAAACATGGAAGGGGAATAAGTGCATGCTATGTTGTTGTTTTTAAATGTCCCTTTTAGCCACCACTGTCCAATTTCTTGAAAGGAAATTATTTAATTGCAGCAAACACTGATGCTTACGCCATCACGATAACACTGAAATCCAGCCAGTTCCATGGGTCTCGAAGGAAGGTGAATTCATTCAGGCAAAAGCCTCTTGCCAATATCTTGATTAGACATTCAAAGGAATAAATGGCCGTGAAAGTATACCTGGGGAGTGAAAGTATACAGGGAAACAAGGTCAACACAGAAAGTAAGGTAACAATCATAAGGTATATCCCTCTGGCTTACCCCAATGTTTTCAGTTTTAAATGTATGCCGATTTGCCAACTCCCCATAGAGTAATGGAAAGTGAGCATTCATGTGATATTTGGTCCTTTTCTGTCTCGAGGCATTATAAGGGACTAATAAACTGTAATAGCTCTTTTTTTAAAGTATAGAAAAAGACTGTGGGCTGACCTTAACAAAGGCATACTAAGAGTAAACCAATTTGCTACCAAAAAAAAAAAAAGTGATAGCAGCTTGGTCAAAGGGCATTCTGAATATTACTTTGTTGGATACATGATTTTAGATTATGAATTTAAAATCAGTGTTGAAGTTGCTTTTCCATTACATATTGTTTGTGGACTGAAAACAGCACTCAATACTGACCATATTCACTGCATTGAATAAGTGAACATTAGCCATTTCTGCTCCTGTTTCCATTTTCTTCAGCATTTTCTGACATCCCTAGCTGTGTTTAATAGTCCCTAGATAAAGGCACCCAAGCTTGAAATAAACTCAAACGAGGAGCATATGAATTAATCCTTGCATAAGATACATTTTTCCACAGTGTGTTCTGCATTTTTAGGTCCTGTATTAGGAGAATATAGTCGAAATAGAAGGAACAATATCACCAAAGTTACTTACTCAACATACTTCGTGGAGGAAGTCTCGCTGCTATTTGACTGCACGTCCGCAAGAGCCATGAAGACACAATTGGTGAAAATAGTGACCATAATAAACATAGTGAACAATGTAAGTAACAGGAGTTAAGGAAAATGACAATTGAAAAACTTTACAATAGCATTTGCTATGGATTCTCAGCTTCAAATGTGTGTGGGGGGGTCCCCACCCCTCTCTTGATGTAAGGTTGAGCATAAACCTTATCCCCATAAAAATATTAGGTTTGTAGAAGTAGCACAACTTTTCACACACCCTATGACAGCCTTCTACAGCATGGTGCCATCCAGATTTTGTCAGCCCCACCAGCATAGCCAAGGCCCTGGGGATTATTGAAGTTGTAGTCTAAAGCAGTGTTTCCCAACGTTGGGTCTCCAGCTGTTTTTGGACTACAATTCCCATCATCCCTGACCACTGGTCTTGCTAATTGGGGATGATGGGAGTTGTAGTCCAAAAACAGCTGGAGACCCAAGGTTGGGAAACACTGGTCTAAAGAATTGGAAGGGTACCATCCTAGGGAAGACTGCCTTACAAGGAGTTGTGTTCCAGGTGTGGATACACCTCGTATCTCTCTTCCTGAATTACAACAGAATTTGACTGAATGGCAGCAGTGTAACATTGGGAGAGAAGATATTTCTCTCAATGCTGGAACTCAAGGCCACCCAGTGAAATTGGTTAGATGCACATTTCTCCTGAACAACAACAACAACAAAGAGGGATTCTTTACACACACACACACACACACACACACACACACCAAAAACCACCATCAACTTAATGCAGGATTAGCCAGATGTTGTTGGACTACAGTACCCATCATCTTAATCATTAGCCATGCTGTCTGAGACTGATGGGACCTGAAGTCCAAAACATCTGGAGGCCACCTTGTTGGTTAACCCTACCATAACAGGAGCCATTGCCATCAGAAGGCTATAAAAGAGAGAAATGAATGGAGGATTGGTTCATGAATAGCCAGTAGCCATGAGAGATAAATGGATGTTTCCTGGTCAGAGGCAGCATATTCTGAATTGCGCTTGCTGAGGAACAATGAACAGGGGAGGTCTGTTGCTCTTGCACTTCTTCTTCACGTAAAGGATATGAATGTACCAAAAGCTTAATTACCATTCGTCTGATTGGATGAAAAGGGCTAAAGATGTACAAAGCACGTGTGGCTGTAAATCGGAAGATGGCCTTCCCTTTGTTCAACACCATAAATGTCTGTGGGTGGAAATACATTAACTGGAAACATTGTTCTATGACAGTTAATGCTAATATCACATGATGTGCTCCATCCCTAAGTATATCAATTAAGGGGAATGAATTTGGGAGGTTGTTTTTTTTTAAAGTAGGCAATAATAATAATAATAATAATAATAATAAATTTTATTTATATCCCGCCCTCCCCAGCCGAAGCTGGGCTCAGGGCGGCTAACAACAAACAAAATAGTCCAACATTCTAAAAACATTCATTATAAAATTAATTTGATCAAATTAAAATCAAATTAATGGCAACCATCAGGCAAAATTCTGTGCAGATTGCCAGAGGAGGGGGTCAGGCTGCGCCCTGACCAAAGGCCTGGTGGAACAGCTCTGTCTTACAGGCCCTGTGGAAGGATGTCAGGTCCTGCAGGGCCCTAGTCTCTTGTGACAGAGCGTTCCACCAGATTGGAGCCGCGGCCGAGAAGGCCCTGGCTCTCGTTGAGGCCAGCCTGACCTCTCTGTGGCCTGGGATCTTTAGGATGTTTTTATTTGCAGACCGTAAATTTCTCTGTGGGACAAAAAAGGTGTCAGGAGTGTTCATGAAAGGCAGGAGAGAGACTGTGAAAGCTGCTGGAGGATCAGGTTCCCCTGTCTTCCTAACTTGCTCACCTTAAAGGGCTAGCAGGATTCTAGGGGCTGATACGTGACAATCAATCATTTATTTGTATGCCGTCTTTCCAAGGTTCAAACCATGTGCACGGCGGCTTACAACATATAAAAAATGAAGGGGTGGAACTGTCAAAAAGCACAGGAAAGAGAATGAAAACCTAGTAGAATAACTGCAGGTTGATCAGCGCTAACTGGAGAAGCTGAATTGTGATGCTACAGTCCTGTCAGCCAATAGGGGGTTCTCCTCAGTCTCTCTCTAGGATTGTAGTTATCAGCTAAGGCTAAAGTCTGCGCAACGCTGCACTAGAAATCAAGGAGAATACACTGTCAGAAGGAAATCTGCAATCTTAATGAAGCCCTATTAGAATTATTTAAAAAGCACACAACTCTCCACCTTCCTACGATCACCTTGTTTCTTTCTAAATAAATCCAATCAATAATGCAGTTCCCGCCCCCCTTCTCATTATATTACCAAAGCCTATGGGCCACAAAACATTTCTTCACCTTATGATCATGATAGTAGGGGTCAAGATCTTCAAGAGGTTCTCCAATGAGCTCCAGAGGAGGGTTTCCATACAGGGCAGGCAGCTTCTGGAATACCTGTAGGTCAAGCTGAGGGCGTGGCTTCTCTGCAGGGGGTGGGTCTCCGCATGCTTTCTTGGCCGCAATGCGTTTCTCAATGGCAACCAAGGATTCGGGAGTGAAGCGGCGGAAGTTGTTAGCTCCCAGCAATGTCAAGTCAGCCATTTTTGCATTCTTCTCATAAGCAGAACATACTCCTCGTTGCAAAATTCACTGTGGAGCTATTATCTGTGTTTGGCCACGCGGTTGGGAAACACTTTCTGAACAGCAAAGCAAAGTAGGAGGTGACTAGATAAGGACACCAACTGAAATCTTAAAGTCATAAAAAGTGGTTTAGTGTTGCTAATGTGGCAACTCATTTCTCGTTAAGTGCACATTTGCTTACAATTTAATAAAACAAAGGAAACTTTTCATTGCAGAAAGGGGAAGCCTCGAATATTCTCCGGACTATAGACAATTCCCGCAAAGTGTAAAACGGTCAGAAAGAAAGAAATGGCCACACAAATTAACTTTCATACCCCAGAGGTATTCTTGGAAGATCCCCATTGATCTCAGTAAAAGACAATGACTCAGTTGCATATGATGCAGCCTCAACTGCACAGATTCAGAACAGATAAAATGAGGTACATCTCCACACAACGGATAATTAAGGGTGCAACCACTGTGCACACTTAGGTGCAAATAAGTCCCACTGAACACACTGCCAAAAGTGATATTCAGTGACTTAGATAGCTTTAAAAAGTAGCTAAACAAAGTTGTTGTAGTTCTATCAAGAGCTCTCAATGGGATTTCCCTCTTTAGAGGCGGTATACTTCTGGACGCGGGTGGCGCTGTGGGTAAAACCTCAGCGCCTAGGACTTGCCGATCGAAAGGTCGGCGGTTCGAATCCCCGCGGCGGGGTGCGCTCCCGTTGCTCGGTCCCAGCGCCTGCCAACCTAGCAGTTCGAAAGCACATCAAAGTGCAAGTAGATAAATAGGGACCGCTTACTGGCGGGAAGGTAAACGGCGTTTCCGTGTGCGGCTCTGGCTCGCCAGATGCAGCTTTGTCACGCTGGCCACATGACCCGGAAGTGTCTCCGGACAGCGCTGGCCCCTGGCCTCTTAAGTGAGATGGGCGCACAACCCCAGAGTCTGTCAAGACTGGCCCGTACGGGCAGGGGTACCTTTACCTTTACCAACTTCTGAATCCCAGGATTACTGTATACTGATCGAAGAAGATTGCCCTCATTCTTGACTGACTTTGTCGTGGATTAAAAGCTAACCATGACATCATGTTCACTATGGGATTTCGGATTGGCTAGGAATAAAGTTCCTAAGATATAGACCAATTAAAAATGGTATCGAAGCAACTATCAGTCAGGAAACAAAAAGGCAAAGAATTGTGGAAGTTTGGGAAACAATTGCACACACCGTCAAAAAAAAGAAAAGAAAAAATGACTACAGTTTCCTAGAGATGTTGTTCTCTGGATGCAAAATTTGGGTTTCCTTGACACATTGTTTTGCTATTTCTTCAAGTGCATATTACATCAGCCCTGATTCCAAATACAACCACCAAGGAAATCTGTTGAGATTTACTGCAGTTCGCATTGTTCGAGACAAATGATAGTGGGGCAAAGGAAAGCTAGTTTGAATTATGTATGGATTGATAGCACTCCTCCGCAGAGCACAGAGGGAATAGTATAATTGCTGCTCTGCACCCTTTGCCAAATGTTGCCGGCACCTGCCCAATAGTAGCTTGTTAGCAGCTGCGGTGCTTCTGTCATAGCATGCCCAGCATAAAAGGGTCGCAATTTGGTTTTGAAAGCCTAACCATATGCACAACTATGTCATTTTGCTCTGAGAATCCTCCCAGTTGCCACACGGAACTAGTCATTTAATACTGGATGCAGAATTTAGCACCTTGAGAACCTTAGGGTGCATTCTTGTCTAATGCAAAGAGCCCTGTCAGGCAATATGTTATACACTATTATAACATATGCTAGGAGCCTTGTACCCAGTATTGCTCGGGATTTCTAAGAAACCAAATAACCAGGGCAGTTTTGAAAGTTTCCATCCACCATCTTAATTTAAAATGGTATCCAACTGTACCCAACTGTATCAAAATGGTATCCAACTGTATCCAAACTGTATCCAACTGTATCTCAGGAACCATAATGTAAAATTACGATATCTTCAGCAGTATCCAAATATATAGAGAACAAACAACTTTCCAAAATATTTATCAGACTTACAGCCTCATGCCCAGTGCTGCAAAGTGATGTAGGGTTGTGTATAATGCCAGTCCTAGTCATTATTACGTGATCGGATTTACGGCTTAAAGAGCTCTTACCCTTCCCCAGCTTATCTGGGTGTTACCTGGAATGGGAGCCTTTTTAACTTCCCATGGAAGGAACCAATAGCTGTGCTGATCTCAAGAGTATGTGTGTAGCGTAATCTCTTGCAGAGCATGAGTAGCCTCTGTACTGAGTGCTGGATGACTTAAAAGCTGCTAGAATCACCTACGGGATGTGTGGAAGAACATCTCATTTCAGCCAAGTGACCATATGCACTCAAAGGCTATACAGGGAGAGCAGGGCTGCTATTTAAGTTATCTGGGGAATTTTTCATTTTATGCCAAGCAGGACCACTGAGAGGTAGATACAGGGGGTACTGATGTAACAGGCCCACTGCCAGCAGAGGCCCAGACTCTCAGTCGTGTGTGTGTGTGTGTGTGTGTGTGTTTTAAGTATGCCTTTAGCTCTCCTACAAAGGAAGCTATGAAGCAAAATGTGCAGATGTCTGTGAGATGATCCATCTTTAAGTGTTTTAGCCAATGAGTGAAGCTGTGATTGACAGATGAGTTGTTTAGACACCAAGTGATAGGAATCTCTCTGTGACTCTAAAGAGCTTCTGTTTTCTCATCTTCTAGTCATTGGAATCTCCATAGTTTGCCCTTCTTTTTTTCATAGTAACCAGGACGCATCTTTCCTGTGGTGGATTTGTCTGAGATCAGGTACTCCCTAGAAGTACTTGAAAGACTCTCCTCCCTGGAAGAGAGGGGAGTGGTTGTGGGCGGGAGCCTGAGCTCCGCCCCTGGCCGGGGGCCTTAGCCCCCACCCCTCCTCACCTGGCTGGCGCCAACGCCCACCGGAGGCAGCCAACCAGGTGTCTCCGGGGGGCGTGTTTAGCAGCTTAATGCTGCGGCTCCAGCTCCGCCTCCTCCTCAGTCGTCGTCGTCCTGCAGCGAGTCGTTAAAGGAATCTGGCGGTCGTGTATTCCGTCTGATGCCTGCTTGGCGGGAGGCCATGGCACGACCCTCGGTGACATCAGGGGTGAGCCTATAGTTGGATTGGCATCAACAGGCTCCACCTACTGTTGAATAAACCCACCTCCTATAGCCATCCAATGCCTAAGCCAATACCTTTTCACTGCTGTAATCAATAAAGTTGTGGCCTTTTCTTGCCCATCAACCTTATATCACGTGTCCTTGTGTGTTTATTTCACATAGCGGGGGTCGGGCCCTCGATCCAAAACTGCAAATACTGCTACACAATAAATGTGGGTGGGTGTTATCCTCCCCCCCCTAGCCACCACAACTACCACTGGCATGGAAGGTTGCTCAGATGGAAATGTGGCCCTTGGTCTGAAAAAGTAATGGAGACAATGATAGCTTCTAGTCAAGTGGGGGAAGAAGTCAATGAATGCCTATTTAAAAAATAGGAAACATTTGGTCCTTGATCCTGCTGTTAGAGATGAGGGAAATAGGTTTCTACACACATAAGAGGTAAAGGTAAAGGGACCCCTGACCACTAGGTCCAGTCGTGGCCGACTCTGGGGTTGTGGCGCTCATCTCGCTTTATTGGCCGAGGGAGCCGGCGTACAGCTTCCGGGTCATGTGGCCAGCATGACTAAGCCGCTTCTGGCGAACCAGAGCAGCGCACGGAAACGCCATTTACCTTCCCTTCGAAGCGGTACCTATTTATCTGCTTGCACTTTGATGTGCTTTCGAACTGCTAGGTTGACAAGAGCAGGGACCGAGCAACGGGAGCTCACCCCGTCGTGGGGATTCGAACCACCGACCTTCTGATCGGCAAGTCCTAGGCTCTGTGGTTTAACCCACAGCGCCACCCGCACCCCACGACACACATAATATTCTCTGCTAAATATACAAGAGGGTCTAGGAGACGGAATTCTCTCTGTACGCCACAGGAGAAGTGGGGAACCATCTTTTCCTTCTGGGCAGCTTTCCGGAGGATGTGGATACACATGCCCTATCCAATAATACTAGAACGTAGGGTGGAAGGGATCATCCATTGAAACTGACTGGTAGGTAATTCTTGACAAATAAAAGGAAGTGCTTCTTAATGCATCACATAATCAGTTTGCTGTTGCATGATGTGGTAATGGCCAGTCACTTAAATTACTTGAAAGAGGAAGTTAGAATGTCATGGAGGAGGAGAGGTCTACTAAGCCTCATAGTTCTATGGTACTTCCATGTTCATCAGCACTGTGCCTTTAAAGAAAGATGTAGTTCTTGGGAAGCAACTCAACACCAGGTGAGGCCTGCCAGTTTCATAGCCTGATGGTGGGCTTCCTTGAACTTTCTGGCCACTAATGGGAAGACGACGCTGGGCTAAAGGTCTGTTCCAGCTTCCTGCATTTTCATGTTTCAGGATCTCTTCCCAAACCTCACCAATAATTTATTAATTTACTTGCTTCATTTATGCAGCCACCCAATAACAGAGGTTCTCTGGGAGGCTCACAAAAATAAAATACAGTATAAAAAAATTTATAACATAATTTCAATACAATTTAAAAATGAATTTAGTGATTTGTTGACAAGTGGAAGGAAGTGCTCTGAAGGTACTGTTCCCCTTAAATCTTTAGACTGGGGCACCTGGGTTCAGTACAAAACACGATGATCGTGTTTTTTGAGATGATATAAATTCACTCCCCGACATTTTTCCTATGTTAAATATTTTCCTCCGAGAGATTGAATATTTGCTGCATATGCTCCAAGTAGTTGATATCTACATTGGATCTTCTGTTGTATTTGAGTTCCTTATTTCATGTCTGACAGTAATTGATAGTGGGTATGTAATCCTATACATTATTTGACAGCAGTTAATAACTCACGTGCAGCGGCATTTAGCGTCTGACAGCATTAGATAGTCTGTATACAGTGGGATTTATTATTTGACAGTATTTGGCAGCTCAGAGACTTGATGTTTCATGCCTGCCAAAATAATCAAGGAAAAGTCCATAAGGCTAAAAGCACTTGTACATGAAACATTGCAGTAAAACCTCATTTACAAGATACAAATTCTGCACAA